AATTTGGTGCGTCCGTGGTCCATGTGTGATACTTTGGGCTGGAAAGGCTGGTTCAGTTTCCTCCACACTGTGCTCATACTGGACCCGAAACCACTTTCCTCTTTAAGTTCGTAACTCTGCTTCAGCCGACAACACAGAATGAACAACCTCATTACACATGTAAGATACGAGTGTACATGGGACCTTGCAGCTCTATAAAAATAACATTTTTAACATTACATAACTCTATAGAAATGAAATTCTACTGTGTGTCATTACTATAAATATCAGTGTAACAATGACTGAGACACATACAATAGAGCACGATGCAGTCATCTGCTGTCTTGGCCTCTCTGTGTTCTCATTGTTCTCTGTATTAATATTGATTTACATTTGCAGCTCTGTAATAGCAACTTACTCTGACAGCAAACCCTCCCAAATGTTAAAAAAAAACTGAAACATACTCTGCAGTCAAAGCTTGTTAATACTGTGCTGTTACGATGTAGTCTGCCCTCAGAAATAACACGATTACACCAACAAACAGCTACTCCTTATGAACTCAGAAACACAAAGTCTGCGTGATTTCTAATGTAATATACTTTCATACACTACAATGAGACATTGAGCTCTTACCGTCTTGGTTTGGACTTTAATCTTGAGAAACTCAGCCTCTCGACACAATACCGGCCACGGAGCGTGAACCCGAGTAAAGCTGGGTCCGTGCACCTTCGACTGAAAAAACAAACAAAACGTCATGTAAAGATATGATGTCATGTTTATGTAACTGAACGCAGAGTGAAGAATTCAGGAAAAGACAAAAACAATATCTGTCTTGAGATGTTAGAGAGCTGCAAAGACAAGTCTGATTCCTCATAATTCCTTGTGTACATGTACTTCACATATCTGAGATCAAGTTTTCTCCTAATAAATAATGTTTTAATACCCTACATTTCTTTGTTTTGGGAAATACCAGATTGCTTGGCTGAAACTACCTGCTGTGTAAAAATGGCTTTCCAACACCATCTGTCAGTCTTGCTTTGCAATCCAATATAGCAGACTTTGTTTTAGCAAGAGGGACCTAAATACATGCAACACTTCTCTTTAAAGAATTGCTTCTTAGCCGCTTTTGCCTCCAGACTTTACAACTGTCCTCTGGAGGTGAAACTCAACATTTCAGACTGCAACGTACTCTCCTATCCGAGTTCTGTTTGAAACCGGAGCCAGGTAAAGCCAATCCTCGCTTTCGTTCTGACCCACTGAAACAGTTTTGCTAACCAGTTTGGCCAGCAGCATTTCTCTGGTATTTATAAAAGATAGATGTGGCCTGTGTTCCTAAAGCGAAGCCTGGAGCTGTTTTCTTCGCTGCTTTGTTGCTGCAGCCTGTTCCTGACACACTGAGTGTTCTTTTATCATCTTCACTAAACAGATCAAATGCATTTATTCTGTATGTAAGATGGCGTCCTGACTCATCTAGCTTGTTTCGCTAATGAATCACAGTCCAGTGCCCACACTGCAATTATTACATTAATATTAAGATGCATTAACAAAATATTATAATCGGTGGCTTCACATCGCACCAAGAGGTACATGAATAAAATCTGAATACCAATGCACTGACAAGCCCTGTGACAAAAAATGTCGTGCAAAAGAAAAAACATATTAGTTTCGAGCAGCAGTAAAAACCCTTCTTCTAAAATCCATGCAGCAGCCCTTCTGCAGCGTGAGTGAGAGTGTAACCAGAAATGAAAGACAGCGGAGCCAGCAGGGGACGACAGCCAGGTAACCTTACCCTCCTCAGACCCCCACCAGCTTCTGTAAGAGGGGGGAGTGAAAAGAGAAAGGTGGCATGGCAAATGATGGAAACCTGAAACGATTCCCTTTCTCCTCTCTCTACTCCTACTCTCCTGAGATCTTTCACTCCCCCTCACCACCCTCCCCTCCGCACATATATTACTGTACCTTCTGCTGCCCGCTAGACACTGTTTCACTGACTGATTGACTGACTGGCTGACTCACTAACTGTCACTCTTCCTCCTCTTATATTTCATTATCGTCTCTCTCACTCACATCCACACAGTCTTTTGTCCCACACAGGGTACAGTGCAGTGCAAAGCCACCTGAACTTCACTCTTTTAATAAACTGTTTTAAACCCATCATCCACATGTGAATTCATAGGTAGATTGGTTTGAAGATCCACTGAGGATGATCTGTACACAACAGAAAATAACATAAAATCAACTTTAAAAAACCTCATTAAAGCGTGGTTAGGTTGTGTTGTAAACATTGCGTTCATTTCCGATTTAATTTTTAGTTGCATGTAGTTGCAGTTAAGGTTGTTAGAAGCTTTCCTTATTATGTCAGTGAAAGAAACCTCAGGATTTCAGAGTTGTTAGTTAAGACTAGCAGCTGTGTCAATCTCATCCACGCTTGTCATTTTTAGTTTTAGACATCCACTTGGCAAGGGTTGTGTGCAAAGTGCATTCTCCTAATGCATAAAAAAAGTGTGCTGCACCATCTGCAGTTGGTTTTAGTGGCTTTTTTGCATTTGCTTAAATTCATCTAGTTGGCTCAGCTGACACAGCCAGTGGGAACAACACCAGATGTTTTTTTCAATTACTAGAAAAAGGTTAAAACAAAACAGAACAAAACAAAAACAAAAACAAGGCATGAGCAGTTCAGGAACAAAGTAAGAAAGTTCTTATAAGCTCGAGTATGTGGGATTGTAGAAACCCCCCGTCCTGTCTTCAGGGTTCCCTCCACCACCACCACCACTCCTGAGCACAGCTGGAAGACTAATCCACACAGGACAGCGTTTGTAGGGAGAGGAGCGCGGCCTATTAAAAGTACATCATGTAACATTCACCGTAACCCATAACTCTGGTCCTACAAAACAAAACAAACCAGATAATTACTCGTCCAACAGAATAAGACCAGCCATGGCACCACTTCTCAGTGTGAAACAGACATATGGATGTTGACCTCTTGCTTTATATGAACCTTCCCTGGTCAAATAATTCTCCATCACTGCTTTTCTTTTCTTGCTTTGTACAGCAGAGCAACATTTTGTGGTAAAACCTGTGGCTGCTCTTTGCCATTATGCTGCTTTCTGCTCAGTAGCTGTGAATGTGTGCGATCACCCTTGTAGACTCTGGTGATGTGTCTTGGCTGCATGAGCAGAGTGTGCCCACGTAGGCAGGTACACAGTCAGACAGGTAGGACAGATTAGGCTGTTCAAAGGTCTGTGACTACAACAGATAATACATTTACTTCTTATTTTTATTATCAAAGCACTTGATGTATTGATTGCTGAGACTTCCTAAAATACTCTGCACACTCTATTTTTAAGTATCGAACAACTACTTCGCTCTCACGCTCTTTCTCTCTCTACATTTCCCCAAACCTTGTTGCTTACTTTCTATCTTCGCCACAGACAAACATGTTGGGAGCAACCAGATGATGGAAAAAAGCAGGATTCCCACAAGTGAAGTCTGAAGTTGGACCCTGCTTGATGCTGCTCAGAAAGAACTGCACTCGTCATTTTGTGAATTAAAACAATCCAGCGGGTTTTGCTCCAAACCCAACCTGGTAGTTCTGTGTGTGAATGTGTAAATTTGTAGAGAACTGAACGTCTTGCAAGCGATGGGCCAGTTTGTCCACCGCTCTTAACCATCTGTCACCAAAATGAACAAATGAGCAAAGAAATCAGCAATGTGCTGCATCTTGTTCTCCTCCTTCGCCTTTTTGCACCCACCCTCTACCACCGTTCTCCATTTCACCTGCCTAATCAAAATTCCTCAGCTCTCTCACCCCCTTCTTCCCACCTCCTCACCCTCCTTCCCCTCCCTTTCCTATCGCTCTATCAGAAAGCAGAGGATATAAATACCTTTTAGCCTGGAGAAGGTTAATTAGTGGAGGGATTTCCAATTAGCTCTTTATCTCTGTAGGGGGGGGTAACTAGGCCGCAGCCGGGGGCGTCTTCGGGTGGGGGGGTTATCGAGTATGAGAGGGTGATCAGTTGGGTGGTGGGATGGTTGGGTAGGAAAGCGTCGCAATAAGCAGAGAGAAATCAAGAGAATGAGAGGGAGAGATAAAAGTGTCAGTGAGTGAGACAAATGAAGACGACGACGCAAATGAGCAAAAAGAGAAAACAGTGTGAAAGGTGGCTATTAGCAGAATTCGCTGAAGTGGGGTCCAGGCTGTGGGGGGCTGACATCAGAGGATCTCCTGCTGATCTGCAGGTGGTCAGATGTGGGTGACTGACTGGAAGCCTTGGATTCTAAAACCACAAGCTTTCTGTGGTGTTGTTCTTGAAACAAGCAGGGAAAACACAATAAGCAAGATCTAAAATAGAGGTCGCCTCGAACGCCTAGTTTAATACATTCAACTACCAAGTGCAGCTACAAGTTTCTGCTGCAGAACTCACATCTGCCAGAGACAATGAATTTATCCTGCTGCTATACTTGTAAATGTGTGAGTCTGTGTGTAGTGTGTCTATTCAGAAGACCTTCAGTTGTTCATATTGCAATAGTTGTTTCATTTTCCGTCCATTCTTTTCCATTTTACACGAGCAGTTTAATTTAAAATGCAGATGACCCTGGTGTGATGCAAACTTTACATTTTTTACATGTGTGTCATTTATGTATCGGGCAGGGATCATTCACAAATACATTCATCTCTTGGGAGAAGACATGCATAACACCAGATTTAGCTTCTACATCATTTTTTTGTAGTTGCACATAGTAAATATAAAAAACAAATGTAAACACAAATACAATGATATGATCAAACACACATACACAGTCCAGTCCCCCTCTTGCCTCCAGCACATGCAGACCATAAAACCCACACATACAGTACACGCCTGTAAAAATCTGGCTAAAGATGCACCCGTTGACAGCACTGGTTTCTTAAAAATCTTTATTTAGCTTTATGGGCAACAATCTGAAGACCTACATGTTTTCTGAGCATCGGTGAGCTGTATCTGCTGACTCCCTCTCAGTCTTTAACACAAGACTAAAGACCAGCTCTTCACTGAACACCTTTGCACTTGACAGCCAAAAAAAACATCCTATTACCTTCCACACAGCCTGCTATTGGCATCAACGCCCTATCACACTTAAACTTGTTCTACATGGCACTTATCTAGATTGTTTTCTCCTGACTAGATCCTTGCTTGTGTTGTATCTACTCTCAGATGTACGTCGCTTTGGATAAAAGCGTCTGCTAAATGAAACTGTAGAACTGTACCATCCCTCATCTCTTTATGGCCTTAAATAAAAAAAAAAGGCTGCTTGTCCAAAGAAGGAGCTTCTTTAAGAGACTACATCCTGCTCCAGCAGGTGACCCTGAAGCTCTGGTCATAGCGCTGTTATGCAGCCTGTGTGGACAACTGGACCGATCAAAATAGAAACTGTTGAATCAGACACAGCTGAAAAGTTCTCCTTGCCAGGTATGACATCTTTGGTGACAGAGTCGTTCTCCACAAACACTTAATCCTGTTCATTACGCTTTTGAAACCCCCACAGACTGAACTCTTCAAAAGTCCCAGCTCCACTTCTTGAAATTAACATCATGCTCTGATTTAATTAAAAGTGTTCCAGAAGAGGATGTCCCTGGGAGATCAAAGGTCAGCTCAATAATCCTCCGACACAGTCAACAAGTTTGACATTTACCAGCATCCAATTAATCTGAAGTCAAACAGGTTGGACACAAGCAACACAGTTTAGTTCAT